CACAACAATGATTTGCATGATACCTTGAAATTTGGGGGGAGGGGGCATGCCAAGTTGGGCATCACTTTGTTTTAGCAGTTAATGGAATATTGATTACTAAAATAAGTTAATATAAGCAAGGTGCCAGTGTACAATCTCTATTTTGATCAATGTCTTTTCAGCACTTTGAGCATTTACTTAGCTCATTTAGTCTTCCTTTTGTAGCGCATGGTTGGGAGGGAAAAGTGTGCATGCATCTTTCCTTCACTCGTCTTTTTTCACCCTCTCCCTTTGCACATAAGTTGTTTGGTTTGCTTCCATCTTACTTTATGCAGTGCCTGGTTTATTTAACCAATTAGTAATCCCGTTTGTTGATGAACTATTGAGAGCTGCAGTAGTTTGCTTTCAGTATTGTTGCACCGGAGTAGACAAACTTTTTTCATAGTGTCTACAGGACATACTAAGAGTGCAACTGCAAAACAAGAGCAAAAGGCACTTCCTCCCATGACCTCACAATAAACATACTGATTGAATCCCCAGGGATATTCCATCATTGCAATAGCTCAGATTTTTGTTCTTATCTTTCTCTTTGCACACCAGCTCTACTCTTTAGTAAAATTGTAAAAGGCTGCCATTATGGACATTAGGTGTCCCAGCATAACCATCTGGAGTGTGTCCAGTTTGTTCTTCATAGGACCAATTTTTATTTGCAGCTTAAATTTTTATATGAAGTTGCATTATTGTGGACTTGGCTGTCTTGTGATGAATTTTTTTCAAATGTATTCTGTGCCATACTATTGTTAAAATGAACTGTTGCTATTGTGAGATGGATTTTAACTGACCTATAAAAGGTTTCTTTTGAATGGCACTACTTTAGGGACATTCTAGTATTTGCTTCTATTGTTTGGGCCTTGTGGATAATGTACAGATTTAAAAACAAATCTTGTTGCTGATTTGTCCATTTCTTTCCCTGCACTTTGTTACATCTGGGATACAGTCTAACTCATCTGATTTAATATGCATTTTAAAAAATGCCATAACTATTAAACACCTTGTTTACAGACAGATGAAATAAATTTATTCCAACCAAATACTCTAGACTCATGTTGTTTATATAAATTGTTGGCTTACTGTTACATTTGATTTTTGACACAATGGTAATATACCTGATAGGTCAAAAGATGCTATAAGCATATAATCTTTTTTAAAGATTCAGTTGATGGCCTATTCCACTTCCTGTAGTATTTATTATAAATAAAATAAAATGGGTACCAGGAATTTATTTTTAATGGTCTTTGACCTATTAAAACTGTTTCCGTTATCTCAGGCTCATCTTCAGGCTTATGAGAAAAAAAAATTATGTATCCACTAGAAATTAATCCTTTTCTTTGGTTGATGGTCTCTAAATGGGAAATCTAGTGAGCAGTAAGGACCCTAGTACCAACAAGGGTTTCTGCATTGTGGTTTCTTCTGTATTGTGAATTCTTCTGTGTTGAGCTGTTGTAAGACTTCTTTAGGTTTGGAGGCTGTGTCGGTAGACTGCAGTGAGCCCAATGGATCTCTCACATAAGAGAAGACATTCCTTAGGCAGCTTATAAAATAATTGGGATGTTCTCGACATTTCTGGCTTTGGTTTGACATGTTCACTATAGCTATATAAGTCATGTTTAATCCCAGAGGTCAAAAGGTCTCTGAGATATATTGAAGTTTATTAAATATGTTAGCTCAATGCTATTTAGATAAATCATCACTATGAACTATCAAACAGAAGCTCAGAGCAGGTTCAAAAGTTGGTGAGTCTTAAGTTAAGGTGACCAGACGTCTGGCTTTTTAACAATTTGTCCCGCGGCTTTTATAAAAAGTCCTGATTTTTTTTGGAATCTTTCTTTCCAAAAATCGGGAGTTTTTTAGAACGCCGAGGGATGCTGGACAAATTGTTAAAAATCGGGATGTCTGGTCACCTTAGTCTAAGTGGAACTGGGAGCTGGTTATAATGCAGATTTTGGGCTCTAGAGTTCTACTCTGTAGATGGAGATTATGCATAAACCCAAGAAGATCCTTTAGAAACAATTGCCAGGTCAATCTGAATCACTTCAAGTGGCCTGTGTGCTACCTTTTGAGAAACTGGTTTAGTGAAGAAGAATTAATCTCTTTGCCTTATTTGAATATACTGTGTATAATTTAAGTTTTTTCTTTGAAGGGTTGTCAAGCAAGAGTTCTGAATTTGATTGTACACTCAGAGATTACAAGTTTAGAAGATAGGGATTTGGGCCTACTTTGGTAGTTGGGTGGGCATACCTTAGAAATTGTAAAACAAAAACAAAAACCTAAACTTCCTGACCCATTAAGATCTCTGTTAGGAACAAAAGGTGGGTCAAATGAAAATTTTGTGATTGGGTTGCAATGATTTGATATTTTATGGTAATATACATTCACATTTGAGTTGTAAAGAATTGGGGTGATTAGAAAGCAATTGTGAAACGCTTAATGAATGAACCTGTAAGTTAGGTGAGGGTGTGTGTGTTGGGGGGATGTGTAGGTGAGAAGACAGTAGTGGGCATCTGTATCATTAAAAAAAAAAATAATGAAACTAAATATTGGCCTCCTATGCCCAATTTCATTAGAAAAACACTTCTGAAAACGTGCATGTATCTTTGCTTTGTACTTAGTTGTAGAAATTTAACCTAAGGAAATGGAGCTATATAAATTGATATGCCAGAATATCCATCACATAGCATTGCTTACTAGTGTAGTGCTAAACTTGGAAAGCTATACAATTTAACTTTCAGGGATATGGTCTGTATAAATGACTGTCCAGAGGATAAGCCAGTCATTGAACAATGATACAAGAAAATGCTCACCAATGAATGTTAAGTAATAATGAGGATATAAACATGTTACAGTATAAGTACGTACAGAATATAATATAGATTTATTTTATCGATACATAAGTATTTCTGAATATCAAATTTGTCTTGGGTATGTTTTCAGGTGAATATCCTTTTGTAATCAAAAAATTGTAAGAAGGTATTGAACAAAAATTGGATTTTTATTTAGTGTTCTATTTTAAAAATTGTGTATACTGTGAAGACATAATAAAAGATTTAAAGTGAATATTAAAACTAGTAATTTAATTAAGACAATAGATATTATAACCAAAAGTAAGTTTGGAGTATTTAAAAAAAGTAATTTTTACCTTAGAAAATCTCCTAACTTAAATTTAAAGGAACTAGGTCCTTTGATCTGGACTGTAGATTAAGAACTGAGAGAAAACAGTATCTAATACACATTACAGTGACTTTTCCCGTTTAAAAAAAAAGAAGTATTTAATAACTATAAAAGCTGTTATTTATTGTGTGTTTATGTGCCAAAGATGGAATTCAATGTTTTATCCTTACACCCTACCTTTGGTTAAATGAAATTATTCAAATGACCAAATTCCAAAGCTCTGCTATCCTAGTAAACTAATGTTCTATTTCTCATGCCTGTGTTTTATTATTTAAAAAGGAGGTAATTCTGCTGAAACCGGTTTGGTTCAATGGATAGAGCGTCGGCTTGGGGACTGAATGGTCCCGGGTTCGATTCCGATCAAGGGCATGTACCTTGGTTGTGGGCATATCTCCAGTAGGGGGTGTGCAAGAGGCAGCTGATCGATGACTCTCATCGATGTTTCTAACTCTCTACCTCTCTCCCTTCCTCTCTGTACAAAATCAATAAAATATATTTAAATATATATATATATATATAAATAAAAAGAAATAAAAAGGTAATTCAAGTTTTTCTTTGCATAAGCAGGAATATTTTTTTTAATTATAAGAATTTTTCTATTCAGAAAGTGAAATTCCCTCAAAAGTGTTATATTTCTTTTAAAATGTGTTATTTTTCTTTTTATATCAAAGGCTCATGTACCTTGTATAGTTATTATTTTCTAATGTGCTTTTGTTCACTAACAATTTCCCATGTCCATGAAGATGTATCAGGATAATTTATTCTTTAAAAAAAAAAAAGATAATTTATCCTTTTGAGGCTGTGTAGCAATCTACTGTAAGGTTATACCATAATTACAACAGGGTACCAAAATGTCCAGTTGTTGGAATGACTTTGACAGCAGTTATTTTGGGGGGAATTACCTAACTGCTTTAGTTAGTTACCTTGTATAAAATTCTAAGGTGTGTTTATCAGATCTAAATTACCGTAATCGTTATACCTTTATAGCACTATATATAAAAATGAGGCTAATGTAGGTAATATTACAGTACACAAAGTTCTTAAAGTGGAAAATGTGTTTATTAACATTCAAGCCCCCTTCATACAAGGCTATATAAAAGTTCTTAGCATTTTGATTATATATGTCTATATTTTCTATGTAGTTACAATGAAGTATAATTTAGCTTTTCATAATAAATTGTTTACATTCATTATTCTGTTAAACATAAGCAATTATTTTTAAATCCAATACTTGATCAATTTCCTCTATACATAGCTTAGCAGGATTAATCAGCATAGATGCTCTTTATTGAGAGGTATATGATCTGCATGTTAACAGTTGCTGAAGTTTGGTATTTTTGTACATTTCTTTTTTGCTTCAATCACAACATAAAACCCTTAAGGATATGAAATTCAGTAAGTTAAGTCCAGTGACATATTACTTTAGCTGATGAATCAAATTCATATGTAACACTATATAGTATTAAAAACCTTAAAACTTGAAATCTGCACCAGTATAGACTGTTTCTTTCAGAATAAGACTACATGGGAAGAGAAAGGAAAAAATTAACTGAGTTTTTATATCAATGGGAGGAAAAATGCTAAATTGCCTTGTTGCCTCTCCCTAATGATGGCAATTGGGGGTAATACCAGAAAAAACATTCCGACTCAACAACTTTAGGTAGCTTTATGGAGATAGGAGCTGGCTTAGCTAATACTAAGTGGCCACAGCACTGACTTTGTGTGCAAAGCACAAAATTTGCATACTGTGATCTAGATCTTAATTGCAAGCTATACTGAGAATTTTTTTTTTCATGTTTTGGTTATATTTCATTCCAAAATACAAGTTGATTTGATGCTTGAGTTACAGTACCAGTCTGCTGTTACTTGTTAGTAAAATGAAGTATACTCCTGCAGATAAATACTACATTTAAAAAAAAACAACAACTTTCAGTAAGATTAAACTGTAGAATACTAAAAAATTAGTTATTTCTACAGAAATCTGTGAAGGGAGCAAAAAAATCAAATTATATACCTAAATAAAATTTCAAAGGGAAATAACCAATCATCCTCTGATTGGGTCAAACTGTATTTGCTATGTTGTAATCCCGTTCATTAGACTGCAGCTGAACCACAACACTATGTTCGTTAATTTCATTTTCTGCATCACTACTATCAGTATCTTCATTGTCATCTTCCTCATAGTCTGAAGATTCTGTTATGTTTTGATGTGAGCGGGATTCCGACAGAGCCCCAAATGACTGAGTGCTGACAGAAGCCAAAGGTCTGAGTAAAGGGGTATGCTCTGACACCTCGTTTTCTTCTTGACTGCTGTCTGTGTCAGAGTCTGAATCACCTTCAGAAGAAACAACTTTTTGCTTGCAGACTGGACAGGTTTTTTTTGTTTTAGTTAGCCAAGGGTCTACACACTTGCAATGATAAGCTGTTGAAACAAAATACACATCTTTAGTAAGTACACTGTGGTTGTGAACATTTTTAACTTTTTACCATGTTTATCCATGTTATTCTGATCTATATGCATCATGTAGGGACAAAAGAAGTAAAGCTTGTAAGTTTTTATAATGAGATATTACTGGGTAGTACAGGGCCTGGCTTATGGTGTGCTAATAACTATTTTTTTGTCTTCTAAATATTGTACCTAAATATAAATTTACTATGTCAATTCAAAGCAATATGTAATTATTCATACCATGGGAACAGGGAAGGATTCTGAGCTTATCTCCATCTTCATATTCATCCAAACAAATGGCACATACATCATATTCATCTCCTATGACAAAAAATAGTAAATAACACTTATTAAAAAATGTAGAGAAGTATTCTTAACTTTTCAAGTTAGGTCTTCCTCAGTCAGTTATTTTTAAGTGATACTTTTTGGTTTTCTGTCAAGTCAAGGACTTGCTTCAACTTCAGGAAACTGAAGTTTTAATGTAAACAATTAACCATTTACCTAAAATAAGAAATTAAAAGATGTTACATTTGTTTACCTTGATTACCTTTGTAAAAGTTTTATAAAATAATTTCATTAGTGTTTTATATAACTGCAATTGCTAGTTCTGAAATATTTTATGCCACAAAATGTTGTGCTTTTAAGTAAAAGTGGAAACATTAGAACATAATTTAAAATAAATATATATAGTAGTGAATAAAAACACATTTGGAATGAGACACACATTGAGCTTCAAATCTCTGTTCCAACATTTGCCAGTTCTGTGTTGCCTAATAAGTTACTTAGCCTTTGACATCCAGTTCTTTTATCTGGGCAAAGATTCCATCTACCATGTAGGGTTGTGAGGATGAAATGAGATAATGTAATAAAAGGCCAGCACATAGGCATTCGCTAAGTGGTGTTTATCATTATCAATCACAGACCTTTTAAATTTCTTATTGAACCTACCACCTTTAAATCATGAACATTTATTCATAGCCTTTCTGGAATTTAAGTGTAGTAGTAAAGTTTTTAAGGGGCTGGCAGTCTTACATCATATGGCATATACAGTCTTGAATCAATAGTGGCTTTTGTGTAGTGGCAGTGCTTTCAACTCAGCATTTCCTATTAAACGAATATGGTAGGTAAACACAAAATATTCAGGGATATTTATTTACAACAGTTAAATTCAGTGTCCAGCTCACATATATTAGGAAAAAAGTCTGTGTCTGGACAGCAGGTCCGGATGAGCATGACACACAATTCCACTGACATCCTTCAATCATTTGAAATGACACATTCAGCCCTAACCAATTTGGCTCAGGTGACAGTGTCAGCCTGCAAACTAAAGGGTCCCAGGTTCGATTTTGGTCAAGGGCATGAACCTTGGTTGCGGGCACATCCCCAGTTGAGGGTGTGCAGGTGATCATTGTTTTTTTTTCTTTTTCTTTTTGTTTATTTTATTGATTTTTTTTTTTTTTTTTTTTTTTTTTTTTTTTTTTTTACAGAGAAGAAGGGGGAGAGAGAGGAACATTGATGAGAAACATCGATCAGCTGCCTCCTGCACACTCCCTACTGGGTATGTGCCCGCAACCAAGGTACATGTCCTTGACCGGAATTTAACCTGGAACCCTTGAGTCCGCAGGCCGACACACTATCTATGATCAATGTTTCTAACTTTCTATCCCTCTCCTTTCCTCTCTGTAAAAATATCAATAAAATATATTTTTTAAAATAAATGACACATTCAGGAGGAGTCATAGACAGTTTCAATGAAAATTACTAATTTTTGTTCAGTATCAGATACATCTGATAACAAATACCGTATTTTTCGGACCATAAGACGCACTTTTTTCCCCCCAGAAGTGGGGGGGAAAAGTCCCTGCATCTTATGGTCCAAATATAGCCTACACATATACTTTAAAAAAAAAGTTTTTTTACTTGCCAAGCTCTGTGTGGTCTCTGTGTGCTTGCCCGGCTCTAAAATGGTTCTAAATGCTGCTGTTTACTTTACAGGGTTGATTACATGTGTTTATGACTGTGATGTTGGGTTTTAATGCACATAAAATATTTTAGGTCACTATTTGTTTCAGAATCTTTTTTTTCTTCATTTCCCTTCTCTAAAAACTGGTGCATCTTATGGTCCGAAAAATACGGTACTAATACTAGTACAAGGTTCTTCTGTTAAAACCTATGTGTGGTATTTGGTGAGACTGATTATACCTATCTCAAACTATTAAAAAATTAAAGGACTTTAATGTTTCTATATTTAATTATACAGTTGATCCATTTACATGGACTTCGAGGACATTTTTAATACATTAAACAATTCAGTTATGACTGATTTCTCATACAAATCAAGCTTTTAGACTTACAACTTTTGATAATGTCCATTGAAAAGAGACAGCTGATACAACTGAACAGGAACAGACTGATCTAAGGCTCTAAGCCTTGCATTAAGGTAGGGAGATTAGCTTGCATTATCTAGGTGGGCCCAGTGTAATCACAGGGTCCCTAAAAGTGCAAGAGGGAAGCAGAAAAGGTCAGAATCAGAGAAATCTATGGATGAATGATTAGGAAGAATGCGGTGTTGTTGGCTTTGAAGATGGAGGGGAGGAGGGTCACAAAACAGAATATGATGGCCTCTACAAGCTGGAAAAGGCAGGGGAATTGATTCTCCCATAGAGTCCCAGAAAAAAAAATGTAACAACTATGCTAACACCTTGATTTTAGCCCAGAGAGACCTGTGTCGCACTTCTAACCTACAGACAATAAACCTGTGTTGTTTTAAGCCACTAAGTTTGTGGTAATTTGTTACTATAGCAATAGGAAAGGAATACAGGGACACAGTATTTTGGTTAGTCTTAAATGTATGGAGTTGAGACTTCAAAGAGACTGAATCCTTGGAATTATTCCAAGTGATGGGTTTATATTGCTCTCCCTTCCTAGCCATAGCACTATTTTGAAGATGACAGGTCAAGATTCAAAGGTCGTTTTTGGTCATGGACCAAAGTGAAGCCTAGTGCTCTGGAGAGAAATAACTCCGATGACCTTGGATGATGAAGTGGTAAAATACAAGTTAGAATTCCTGGATTCCCATCCTGATCATGTTATGTATTATATATTGTATGTATTCTTGGGCAAGATGCTTACCATCTATATATTTGAGCATTCTCAAAGAAAAACATTTTAACATATCTATGTTTTAGGACTGTTGTGGATTAAAAGTGATAATGCAAGTAGAGTACTTTACATAGTGTTTGTTGGTGCATATACAGCCTCTTAACCAATCTCCACCTGATGAAACTGGCCCAATGGACATGCTTGCATGACATACTCGGAAGGCTGTGGCTAGGAGGTTGCTCTCTAATAGCCCCAGCAGATGAACTGTATGTTTGCAAGGAATGAGCAGCATGGCCATTGAACCCTGAACTGGTCTGTGGTATTAGGATAATTATGTGATTTAATTAAATATTCAATAGCCCTTGAACTGAGACTACAAATATGGTTTTATATGAAAACTAGGTTAATTGTATTAAGAATACTGTTAATACAGCTAAAATTTAATTGAATTAGGTATAGGTGAGAAATCTAAAAAAAAAAAATGGACAAGCATCTATACTAATGAAAGAGTAATGTGCTAATTAGACCAGGAGACCTTCTAGATCAGTGTTTTTCAACCGCTGTTCCGCGGCATGTTGCCTGGTGTGCCGTAGGTGCAGACAAGACAAGAATTTTATAATTTTTCACTATTTTGTTTACTTAATATTTCATAATAAAGTAATTATAAAATACTTTCTTTGTGTTTATTTGATTCCTATTCAAGAGAATTACTTTATATATAGTCAATATAGGCACAGAGTTAAATTTTTTAACATTTTCTAATGGTGGTGTGCCTCGTGATTTTTTTCATGAAACAAGTGTGCCTTTGCCCAAAAAAGGTTGAAAAACACTGTTCTAGATGTTCTTCTGAACAAAGCCACAAATGGAAAAGGAATGAAGATTGTTTCATTCCTATCTCCCATGGTTTCACATTTTTATAAACCTATCAGGGTGCTACAAATTAGCGGCTATGTTCTACAACTTTATCTATCAAACATTTCTAATATATTCTGATGATGAAATGATAGTGAATACAAAGTAAGGAAACAAATGACTCCACTGAAAGAAAGAGCATTATGTTGGCAACTTTTGAGTGTGGTGGTGGTAATTCATTAATTGAGAGTAAGAATAAGAATAAAAATGATTGTCTTAGAGACCATAAATAAATCTATATAACAAACTTAAAATCCAAGCCCTAAACATTGATATCAGCATTGACCGAATTCCATTTTGGGTAATTTAAAAAAATAAATAACTTTTCCCTGTATTCAAAACAGTTGTTCTATATTAGTCTTTATTGGTTTTAACTTGGATGAATTATGCAGATAAACTATCCAAGAATTTACTGAATAGAGAACTAAACAGATTCAACTACTTGTCATTATCCTGAAAAATCAAAGTTAAAGGAATTTTTAAGTGGTAAATTCTATCAGGCCTCAAGTACTTACAAGTAAAAAGCGTTTTCTTGTATTAAGTCCTAAAGGTTTCATGTTCTTTTTCATTATTTCTTTTCAGGCCACTAGAGTATTGGTGTACACTCTTCCACAGCCCACTTCAACAACTTCAGATTTATATGCATCCTTTATACTTGTGTGTTCTAATGTAGTTATTATTTTTCTTTTCCTTCATTTAAATGTGTTTAAACAAAAACCTTGAGCAGCCTCGGGTACACTTGGGGTTTAAATTGGAGGCATCAGCAAAACCGGTTTGGCTCAGTGGATAGAGCGTTGGCCTCCAGACTGAAAGGTCCCAGGTTCCATTCCGGTCAAGGGCATGTATTGTACCTTGGTTACGGGCACATCCCTAGTATGGTGTGTGCAAGCAGCAGCTGATCGATGTTTCTCTCTCATCGATGTTTCTAACTCTCTATCCCTCTTTGTAAAAAATCAATAAAATATATTTTTTTTAAAAATAAAATGGAGGAATTAGGCCTACATTACTTTGGCATAAAGCAGAATTTCTTCTAGATGACTAGATCGGGGTGTCATTACAACTCTCAATAAAAAAATTGTGTGTGTGTGTGTGTGTGTGTTTATGTGTGATGGTTTGCACATGAACATAGAATTGGAGACCATTTAATATTTTTTAAATTATTCCTTTGCCCGAACGTTACACTTGTTTTGTTTGTATGACTGTTTCTTGGAAACTAAAAATAATGTAATTATTCAAAAATAAATAAAGCTATATATATAGCTTTTAGAAAACAACCATACTATTATCACATGGAACAAAACACTAAT